CACACAAGAATGACGCACGCTAGTTTGAAGTACAATAAATAATCATTCATGGCTTTCAAACTTACCATCTCGATAGTATTATCTTCGTCGTTTTTCGTAAATAATGCAAAAACAAGCAACGTTCAGTCAAGTCGAAGCAACGTTCAGGCAAGTCTTAAAGCACACATCTTAATAGAAATCATTCGTAGGGATTCTCTGGAAACCTACTGGAACTTACCGAAGCTATACCTACTACTTCAATCAAATAATGCAATACAAGGATGTCAGCGAAAGAAACTATATAGGTCGAAGACGTACTGAAAATAGTTCTGATGAGGAAGGGTTTGTTACTTTATGGTACTGCTGTACTGCACAGGTTTTTTGAGGGTTCCAATTCAGCAAACCTGTACGGCTCAACATTACCATGAGATATTTAACGAACTCAGGTCAAACAAAGCAGATAGCCTGAAACTAGAGGACGTGGAAGGATGTTTAAACTCCGGAGAAACCACTCAAAAGCGGAAAACGGTGACAGAAAGGTGCCGACGATCAGAGCAGTGGGACGCCACCACTCCTGGCGGGCCACACCGGCTCACTGATGGGATGCCGTTGATGGTGAACGTGGAAAGTCCAGAGCCTGTTCGCTTCAAAGTCATTGCACATAAGCCATCATTTCGTCTTCCTTTCTGTATCCGTTTTTGTAAGTTTGAACTAACAAGAGTGGTATTCAAGGGCAAACCGCGCTTTTTCAAAAAGGTTCTTACATATTATAGGGACACATGTATGGACCACAAAACCATGTTTCGTTTTCGCTAAACGGTTCAGCAGTTTAAAAAAAAGTTGTGAAATATACTGTTGCTGGTTTGATTCCTGCGGCGACTAGATTTTCGCATTTCAGGCGGGCGCCTACGGGTTGGGGACAAATGGCACTTAATGCCAAAACAGGATATCAAATTCATAGCCAGGACCATGATGATTTTAACAAGTAGTCGCCAATTTTGAGTGTAAGATTTTTACGCCAGAGGCAATCGAACCATCAGAACCTTGCACTAGTTCTTTGAAACCTCTAGGAACGTTTAGCGAAAACGAAATGGTTCTATGACCACACATGTGTCCCTACCATATTCAGGACACCATTTTCCAAAAGCGCTGTTTGCCCTGAAAGTCCCCCTCCCCTCCCTGTAAGAGCAGTAGTAATATAGAAGTGAAGAGCAAAAGCTAATATCACCCGCTCTGCTATAGAAATAGTTCAAATGACAAAAGGATTGTTACTTATGGTGTTGCTGTGCTGTACAGGTTTGTTGAGAGCCCGCGTCCCAACAATCCTGTGCAGTACAACACTACCATAACTGCTTAACAGGATTAGGCTACACAAGGGAAGCCGGTCGAAAAAAGCTTGATGACAAATCGGAGCACAGTAGGACCGCCACCTCTCCTGACGGACCGCACTTGTCGAATGAGAGACGTCACGGTGAGGGCCAACGTGTGAGGTACGGTAAAACTCCCATTGCTTCATTACAGGACCAACGCACGAGATCCTTTAATTATAGCTTGTGCCTTTTGAAATAGTTGCGTTGTATTTTCAGTTCAGTACGTTTTCTTTTAGACGTTATTTCTCCTCCTCGCTTTTTCAGAACGCCCAAGGATCTGCGTGAATTCAGCCACATAAAGCAATAAGGAGAACGAAATGACTGGATTTTGTAGCAGGTTGAGTCACAGAAATCGAACTAAAAAATGAAAAGAAAATCTATGTAGCGATTCAGAGTTAAGATATGCGATTCCACGAGGGCTGTAAATTACTCTGACTTCACCAGGTCCGGAAAGGCCCTTCTTAAGAGTTGTTTCTTGTACGAAGCCTAACCTGAAACTTTGGCCACCGATGATTTTCTTGCCAACTCACCTTTTTATTACGTCTGTCAAAAGTTCGGTAGAATATTGCGTTAAAATGACTAGATTGTGTAGATCTAAATGAAAATTCTCTTAGAGTACTCTGAGGCTGAATGCAGCATTCTGGGCGACTTTTTCTCACAAGCTAGCCTTACGGTGCTGGAGCCGCGGTTCGAGGGCACACAGCTGCCATTCTAGAGCATTCGATAGCCAGTACCACTGACAGCTGCAACAGTAGAGTATAAAATATTCCTTCCTTATTACTATTCAAGAAAAGGGTAGTTTATGTTTATCTGCTAAATTCACTCCCCCTTGGCGTCATGGTTTTCATATTTTTCTTCAAATATTCACTGCAGAATAATAATGTGATAATGCGTGATTTAATTTCGAACTCCAATAAAACCTCTTCGAAAAATGCCCTAGACATTCTGCCTCTACGATTTTTTTTTGTTTCACCTTATTCTTATTTTTCGAAGAGATTCTAATGAGGGTATGTCACTGTCTAAGGTAATGGGTCAAGAAACAGCTGACAGGAACTCGATTGAAGTTCAGATGACGTACACATAAAGTGATTTCCCTTGCCTTTTGTGATTTTTATGTCAGCGGAAATGAATGAATAAATAATGTCCTCACAGGGCATGTCATAGGGTACCAGTTGTGCCAGAAGTAATCGGGCTTGGATGTTTTATTTGCGTTTTTAACGCAGAATTGTTCACGTCTAAGCGAACAGACTATTCTAGGTCTCGGTTCTTGTGTGAATCCTTTAACTGTGAAGATTTTCCAGCATGTAGCCGTAGGATGACTATGTACGCCTCGACAGGTCGATCAACTTCTATGGAGGAATTTTGGCAGAAGGTTCACGTGAGCGAATGGTGGATGTCACCAGTGAAGATGCTTCAAATGAAGTCAGTGGGAGGCAAAGCAAAAAAGTTCCATAGGGCACTCAATTTTCTTTTGCGATGTAAGTCGTGATATGACGGAGAGACACTGCGCTGCGAGGAGAGGGAAACGCGAGATAGTACATCGTACGCGAGAGGGTGCAGACGCCATATATGCTGCGCTTGATAAGCATTGCAGCGGTTGCAGCGGCAGAACGACGACTAGCTCCGTTTTCGTGCAGTTTCTAGCCGCGGCAGTACCACCACGGTAGCCGCTATCAGGGGTCCTGCTACCTCATTTAAGGAGGAAATTTCTCCGAGGATATAATGGTGACCTGTACCTTGAACACTCCTGGTGAGGTATGATTGGAATCAGCGGGGATTCAAAAGGGCATTTTGACACAAGTGAGGGAAACTTATATTTCGGGTTCCGTAAAAAAGGTTTACTCGATGCGTGGAAGGCACACAGCTTGGTGATTGTCATGTTTCAGTATGAGCAGTTTTGCTGGACCATTTTTCTAGAGTAATGCTAACCCAATAATATTTGCACACCTCTACCTGAGCAAATCATCCGTAGCTCATACAGATTCCACCTGAAAGCTCTCCTTGACTTGAACCCAACAATCATGGTAGAGAACACTAACCAGGAAGGTCTTTCAGGGCGTGACAAGCTTTTTGAAAACGGTCTTTTGCATGATATAGGGGCAGATGCGGGAACCACAGAACCATGTTAATTTTTCCTGAACGGCCCTCTGAATACCAGAAAAGGGGGTCCCTAGTTCGATTCCTCGTGGTGACAAATTTTTGCATTTTCACGTTCAAAATTCGTAAAAGCAAATAGAGCTAA